ACCTCGACCTATCTGTCCGAAGTTGAATCCACATTGGGCTGATGAAATGAACAACGTCTAGACAACGAACTTTGGCCAACGTCAGATCAACGTTTGTCCAGCCTGTTGGGCCGGCGTCTTTCCAACTTGAAAATCGACGTTGGCCCGATGGAAAAACGAACGTCTAGGCAACATCAGAAAAGGAATGTTGGCCCTACGTAGTTTGATGACGTTGCATAAACATATCGGCCCGACGTTGATCCAATTAGTCGGACCGACGTCTTTCCAACTGGCTAAATCGACGTTGGCCCGATGGAAAAGCGAACGTCTAGGCAACATCAGAAAAGGAACGTTGGCCCAACGTAGTTTGATAACGTTGCACAAACATACCGGTTCGACGTTGATCCAACTAGTCGGACCGACGTCTTTCCAACTGGCTAAACCGACGTTGGCCCGATGAAAAAGCGAACGTCTAGGCAACATCAGAAAAGGAACGTTGGCCCAACGTAGTTTGATAACGTTGTACAAACATACCGGCCCGACGTTGATCCAACTAGTCGGACCGACGTCTTTCCAACTGGCTAAACCGACGTTGGCCCGATGGAAAAGCGAACGTCTAGGCAACATCAGAAAAGGTACGTTGGCCCAAAGTTGTTGGACGACGTTGCACCAACATATCGGCCCGACGTTGATCCAACTATTCGAACAGACGTCTTTCCAAGGCTGAATCGACGTTGGCCCGATGGAAAAACGAACGTCTAGGCAACATTAGAAAACGAACGTTGGGCCAACGTGGTTGGACGACGTTGCACAAACATTATCGGGCCAACGTTGATCCAACTAGTCGGGCCGCCGTCTTTCCAACAAGCTGAATCCACGTTGGGCCGATGGAAAAATGGCCGTCGGGCCAACCTTTGTGTAAGTACGTTGTGCCAACGAAATTATTTGACCTTCAACCAACGTCGGCCCAACGTTGATCCAACTGGTCGAACAGACGTCTTTCCAACTGGCAGAATCGACGTTGGCCCGATGGAAAAACGAACGTCTAGGCAACATCAGAAAAGGTACGTTGGGCCAACGTGAATGGACGACGTTGCACAAACATTATCGGGCCAACGTAGATCCAACTAGTCGGGCCGACGTCTTTCCAACAAGCTGAATCCACATTGGGCCGATGGAAAAACGGCCGTCAGGCCAACCAATGTGTAACTACGTTGTGCCAACGTAATTATTCGACCTTCAACCAACGTCGGGTCAACGTCGCTTGCTGGCTGGGAAACACACTTATGAAAAACTGCCTGATTTACCAAACAAACTGCCTGTTTACCAGACACCCTTGATTGGGGTATTAATGCACCCTCTATTAATCCCTTAACGTGAGATGAGCTATTTACTTGAGGTGGTATGAATAT